AATTGGATTATAGGTCATCCCTTCACTTGTTATTCAGCTGTTAACACTTTACTCACCATCTAACATTCTTGGTCTCCTGCAGAGACTTATCATTCAACACTCCACTCACACCATTTGTATGATCTTTTTGATCTCTCTGCCCTGGATCACTCTGCCTGTAAATTCTGTAAGTGTGTGTTCTTCTCTCTCACTTCACCTGATGTAGGGGCTGCGCTCTGAAAGCATGTGATTTCAAATAAACTTGTTGGACTATGACCTGGTGTCATGTGACTTCTGAATATCTCCAGAAGAGGGATCCTGACAGCAATTCCGAAACTTACCGACACAGGCCTGTTCCGCACCAGGGGAACCACAGCAATGGACCACAACCTGCAGACCTAAGAACCGACAGCTTCCAAAAACCAAGGACCCGACTGACACCACAAGGCCTCATGCGCATCCTGAGGTTAAAACCAGCTCACAAAAACTACCACAAAGTAAGGAAAACCAAGTACTCGCCTGATAAATCCAAAACGCCTCCTACCTCATCAACAGCCTCAACCTAGACTGAAGGCCTACACCGTCCAAAGTCTTCATCAAGGCACCGGGTATGGCAAGAGGGAACAGCCAGCTGTACTTCAAAATCGCATTTTTCCCCATTGGTGAGCTTAAACGCCCAAGACCCTAGAGTATCCAACCTAGCTAGCAGGGAGGGGAAGGTGGGTGGTGACATTGCAGGAATCCCAAGGGTAAGAAGCCTGATTAAAGTTTCTGTGATTAAATTTACTGCTTAGCTTCTAACAGTGTTTAATCTGTGTTTATTTAATCAATGGCCTCTGTATAGGTGAGTTGTCAATTTCACTGTTTATTACCTTTGCCTTTATTTCTTGTATTATAATTGCCTTTTGTATTTAAATAAACACAGAGATTCTTTTGCCCTTAAACACTTGCCTATTGCCTTCTTCATTCCACATTCCTAAATAAGTCCAGTGTCAGAACTAGGGACTTGGGGGTGATTCGAACCACCTAAAAATCAGCAAATTACTGATCACAAACCAGAACCCTACATAGTAACTGCGTATTTTTTCTTAACATTTGATCTCCCAAAGAGCAGCGCTTCACACTTACCTGGATTAAACTCCATCTTCCATTTCTCTACCCATATGTGTAACTGATACATATCCCGCTGGATCCTTTGAGAACCTGCTACACTATCCACAACTCCACCGATCTTTGTATCATCTGCAAACTTACTAATCCACCCATCTACATTTTCATCCAAGTCATTTATATATGTGTGTTAAACAGCAGAAGTCGCAGTATGGATCCCTGCAGAACACCACTAGTCATGAACCTCCAGCCAGAAAAACACCCTTCCGCCGTTACCCTCTGTCTTCTATGGGTGAGCTAATTCTGAATCCACGTGGCCAAGTCACGGTGGATCCCTTGCATCTTAATCTTCTGGAAGAGCCTACCATGAGGGACCTTGTTGAAAGCCTTATTAAAATCCATGTAAACCACATTCACTGCTCTACTCTCATTGGTCACCTTCATCACCTCCTCAAAAAATTCAATCAAGTTAGTAAGTCATGACCTGCCTGGCACAGAGCCATGCCGTCTGTTCCTAATTCGGTCATGCTTCTCCAAGTACGCGTAAATCCTATCCTTAAGAATTGTCTCAGTTCTTTCAGTTTTTATTTCATAAATATAAGATGTTGTTGCTTGGGTCAAGTACTATGATGGCACCAATAGTGGCCTGTTGAACAACACTACTATGTCAACTGGGGTACAATTGCAGGCAATGCACCAGCACAGTTTTAATCAGGTCATCAAAATTCTATAGTCCCACAGAAAGAGTGCCTCTAGTACATCTTTTCAATTTACTTCTCTATCTACCCATTCCCATAAGAATCTGGGAAAACAAATAAAAACTTGACGTGGAGAGAAAGACATCTTAGCTTTTCCACAACCTGACAACACCCTAAAGTGTTTTATAGCCAATTAAGTTCTGAAGTGTAGTAACTGTTGCATTGGAGCACTTCAATTGTTCTCGAAAAGACAAACAAATGTCTAACAAATTGCTGTATTGATTGTTCTATTGTGAACAATTTAGTGCAAGACAAACCATTTCACTAAAATAATTATTTCTTAATGTGTTTCATAAGAATTAACCGGGGCCATATAATCCCACCCATGGTATTTCCCCAGGAGTTCCAAAAACCATGATCACTGAATTATTATAAATAAGCTAGACCATAAGTCACGGACAGACATAGAAGTTTGCATATAGTATTATTTTATCAAGCGCATATTATTCTAACACTGCAAATTCAAGAATGCCTTAAGGAGATACTGAGTGGCAGGGTTTGTAGGAGGAGCTGCTGCATCATTTATGTTCAGTTGTAATACTCGCAGCTTTCATTCAGGAATTTCATTCATTTTAGCTCAAATTCCATTTCAGCAAATTGAGGGCAGAGAGTAACAGTGTTTTAGAGTGTTGAACGAGTACTGAGTTGTTGCTGTCTTTCAACGGAGGTATTTTGTGTAGGAGCAAATTACTGCAGATGCTGGAATCTGTACTGAAAACAACAAATGCTGGAGATCCAAGCAGGTCAGGAAGCATCCATGGAGAGAGAGCAAGTCAACACTTCTTCATCAAATGCACAGTCATCTAGACTCGAAACATTGGCTTGCTCTCTCTCCAGAGATATTATGCCGGTTTTTGTTCTCCTAATGGAGACAGAAATGGGGTCAGGAAAGTAAAGAAGTTACAATTGTTGACTGCAAATTCCAATTCCCTGTGCCTTTCCAATGCTGCACTATGCTTGTGTGGACATTTTGCAGATTGGGAAAGGATTATGCATGAATCCTGCCTGCACATCTTGTGAGGTTGGGGTCACCATTGCAAGGACCGTCAAAATTTTGAATTTCCTTCCCTGCACTAGTTTTATTTGCTGGTGCAGTTTTTGAAGCTCTAAACAAAATGTCAGGCTTGAGAATTTGTGACCTTTGAAGAAAGCCTGCTGAGGCATTCTTACAGTTACATGTTAAATATTTTGACAAATTTAATACAGTATTACATACTGTAATGAAATATAGATGAGTTTATAATGCAGTGATTGCTCTTAGGCTTCTGTTCTGAAAAGGTAAGTTGACCATCACATTCACCACCATTGACTAATAGATGAAATGCATTGCAGTACTTGTCCTGTTAGAGAAAGCAACATAATGCATTTAAAACTATAGAAACATTATGGTGGGGAATTCTCACCCCATGTCTGAATTGAGATTTAAATTTCCAAAGTCCTTTAGCTTTGTAAAAATAACGGACCTTCTGCTGGACTACAAAAAATCTCTAAACACCTGCCCATTCTACTGATTGAAAAGTAATCTGTTATGAAGCAGAAAAGAACATTACTTGCAGACTAGAAAAGGCCATCTGATGTTTCAATTTCAATGGTCCGTTCTATTGACATTTTCCAGGTTATTCTTTGACAGATGGGACTATAGTGAATGCTTGTTAAATTTCAAAAGACACAGAAACACTCATCTCAACTGGAGGACTGCATTTAAATTTTGATTGATGGTTTTAAGAGGTTGTTATAGCAGTATATGCGTTTGATGTCGTAAATGAATGTGTTTTTTTTTGACAGATGGACCACTTTATGCAATTTTTATGTGAGTCTTATGGAAGTGAGTTTTTCTTCAGTTAAATTCACCCTCATCTTTAAATATTTTATTGAGGATGATGCTGTACATAAATATAAGAATAAATTTAAAAGTATAAGATAAAAAAGTGGAATTATATAAACTCTATTTTTGAAAATCGCTTCAAAACATCAATCACTTAGTAATTCAATTTAGAAATGGTAACAGCCATATAACAAATATCAAAACCAAAACAGAAATTGTTGGAAAAACTCGAAAGGTCTGGCAGCATCTGTGGAGAGAAATCAGAGTTAACATTTTGAGTCCGGTGACCCTTCTTCAGAACTCCAAACATGTTTTTATTTGGTTTGCTTCTGAAATCAGCCCTTGTCAACACGTGTATGTTCAATAGTATTAATTATTTAATGATATTGTTTCTACTTATCTTTATAAATGTTTCAACATATTTTACCAATATTGTTTGTGTTTGTAAGAATTACTGGGTGAAAAATGATGATGTAGAATAGATAATTGTTTAACAATATTTTGATAATATTGGGTATTTTACATTTTAGTAATGATCCAGAATTTACTGAAAAAGTCATAGCATTTGAATGACACATATACTAATTGGTAAGGAAATCGGAAGGCAATTTGTAGTGAAGAAGAGATAGCCTGTGAATTAGAAATGGCCACAAGTTATCACTTGGCAGTTAGTTTCACAAAAAATATCATCCTCGCTCTGGACTTCCTTGTGATTATTGAGAAGTTGTTGCTTTAGAATTCAACTGCTACTAAACTCGCTACATGAAACTACGATCAGTGTAAATACCTTTTTAACTATGGGATAAATGTTAATATTTGCACATTAATCTTTCTTGCCCAGAGAGTGACCGATTATAAGTGAAAAGCCTCATTCCTTCAGTGGTGAATTGTTCTGGCAGATTTTTAAAATATAATTTTTTTTAAATTGACTTTTATTTCTTTCCCTTTCCATTTATTTTTCCTTTCAGTTTCTCTTTTTGTGCCTGATTTGACATTCAGCTCACCCCGTCCAACTCATACTCCTTCTCATTCTTTCCTTTGACTATTTCTCAAACACTTAAAATCACTTTTTAAGGAAATACACTGTTTTCTCATTGTTCACTCAACTTGCAGATGCCCTACTGTACTCACCACACGGTAATCAGTTCACACGTTCAGCAACTTTGCGGACAAAACGCGTTATGCTTAATTAAGTCCAAGTAACAGGGCATGTTGTGAGATATCCTCTTCATCTGGGCCAATGCAACACCTTATAACGCATACCATAATCTTTAAAAAAAATTGGTAACCATTTTATATATTGGTAATTTAAAAATGCATGTACTTACAGCCAACCATCATCATAGCCACAGAAAATATCTTCTCCCCATCAGTGGTAGGAGCAATGTTGCCAAATCCGATTGTGGTAAGGCTGGTCATGGTAAAGTAAAGGGAAGATATGTACAGTGAATCCTTTGTGGGTCCCCCTTCCCACTGTCCAGTGCCACTGGCATTGAAATGGTAGGGTGTTCCAATACTTAGACCCAGTTGATACAGCCAGCTGTCTGTTTTTATTCTGTTGGTGACTTCATCGATGACCTCGTAATCCCCGATACTGTACCAAATGCAGGCAAGCCAATGAGCCACTAATCCAAAAACGCATACCAGTAGTACCAGCACAGCAGCACCATATTCGAGGTAATGGTCCAGCTTCCTGGCAACACGGCCAAGTCTTAAAAGACGCACAACCTTCAGGGAACTGAACAGGCTGCTGATACCCTGAAATCAACAGATATTGAGAAATGTTATTTTGTTAAAAGAATAAAAATAAAGCTGCACTTACTTTTAAAGGCAATGTAGAAAGTAGTCAAGAGTTATGGGAACATATTTGAAAGGTGAGACCAAGAGGATAGATGCAGTAAAGATTGGGCACAGGCATAACGAGTACATTGACCTTTAGGTGACCTGGTGATTCAATGATTCCACAAGAGTATTCACAGTATTGTCCAATTAGACCATGAGGTATGGTACCCTTGACTGAATGGAGGCATCAAGCAAATCAAGCAGGATAGTTTGCACACCCATAATGGACCGTATCACTTTTTGAACCCATCAAGTGAATGATTATAAAATTTACAGGTTTGGATAAGGAATGTCCTGTTCATGGGCAGTTACTTCTGGCTACGAACAACAAAGAGAAATCAGTCCCAATTTGTCTTGTACTGTGTATAGTCCTGAATCAAAGACTTTCAGATTCATTGAGTTTACTACTTTGGCTATGGGTTCAATTTTTGTACAGGCTAGTATGACTGTTGAGCTACAAAACACACCAGAGTCTTAAGCTAATTTAGTCCTAAGGATGAGCAACACTCACATCTTATGAAATAATTAAAACAGGATGAGCTGATATAGGCGATATGAAGTGATTAGCCTTCTCCTACATAAGAACTAGGAGCAGGAGTAGGCCGTCTGGCCCTTCGAGCCTGCTCCACCATTCAATAAGATCATGGCTGATCCTTTCGTGGACTCAGATCCGCTTACCTGCGTTCTCACCGTATCCCTTAATTCCTTTACTGTTCAAAAAAAAATTGTAAAAGTGTATCCTATACTGTAAAAGTGTATGGTTCTGTGATTCAATACTTCCCCTAAAATTTCATGAAATCCTGATACTGTGATTCAATTAATGTCAAATTATGTTTCCAAGTACTCAACATCAAGTACTGGATCAATTTCTCCGTTAATCCTGATATTTTTATGGATCCAGCAATATCAAAGTTAACACCATTTTCTAATTCTTGAGTATGCTGACAACCAACAAAAGGAAATCAAATTAAAATTGACCTTAAGATTTGTCCCTAAACGGTGAACTGGGAATAGAGATTCCCATTCATACTTTGAAAGAGAATACATACACAACAGAGAATATTTACTTTCAGTTCTACCAGCATTGATTTATTCATTCTTGGGATGTGGATGAGTAATGCTGATATGGTTGGATTTATTGTCCAGTTTTTCTGCAGGTGTTAATAATTAAACACATGTTGTCAATAGCATCACATGTAGGTCAGTGAACCAGTGCGTCTTTAAAGGTTGGTGGTATCCAGTTGCACTTTTTAGAGCAAACCAGCAATCAACATATCACCAGACGTGTCAAATTCAATTTCAAAACTTTTTTAGTCCAGTAGCACAGCCACTGATGTTCTCTCCCTGTTGTCTAGTACGATATCAGCCAAATAAAACAAAATCAGTGTAAAAATGTAGAAATACCAGTGTTGTATGTAGAATTAATTTCCAAAACAGTGGTTTGCCAGTATGGATATTTTGTATAATTGGTTTTGAGATTAATATTACGATATTGATGTACTTGATATTTCTTACCACAATCTCATGATTTGACCAGATGCACGTTTCCACATAAGTTAACCTGCAAAAAATTGTCTCCTGCTGTGAGCATGCAGGAGTTCTGATTAATATAAGATAGTATTCAGAAATCCACGAACTAAAACAGGGTATGACCAATCAGGACTGAATCTATATCCACTAACACACTGCACACACTGTTAATCTTACACTTCATATTATTCCACTGTTTATAGTCAGTCATATATTGTTCTTTAATTATTATGCTTCAGGCATTGGACATGACTGGAATCTCAAAGTTAGTGGGATTCTTGCTGAATGTGCAGTCAGTGATTTTCATTCTAATCCATTCCAGGGGGTGGCAATTTGCTCCTTCCATAAACCATGTTGTTTCCATTTATGTGGAGCCCGTTTTATATTTCAGGTTTCACTTTAATCTAATTATAAGACCCAGTCACTTACAGTTATAGACTAAGCCAATATAAAGATTCTAGTCCTGATTAGTTAATAGAAATATCCCAGGTACAAATATGATTTCACGGGTTTTTAAATTTTACGTTTATGAGACGCATACAAAAGAAATTATACTTAATACGTGGTTTTCAATTACTTTGCTTTAGGACACCAGCTCACGCTTTATTCTCTTTTGTTGATTAAGTTTGTTTTACAGTCATAGTAGGAACTGCCGATGCTGGAGAATCTGAGATAACAAGGTGTACAGCTGGATGAACACAGCAGGCCAAGCAGCATCAGAGGAGCAGGAAAGCTGATGTTTCGGGTCTAGATTCTCCATTTCTCCACACCTTGTTTTACAGTCAGCTCAGTTTGCTAAATCACTATCAGTCACCACTTATTAACCCTTGCTAGCCCATACCTCTTTTGTATGTTCTGAGACATCTTGAACTCGAATTGGCTTACCAATGCATATACAGTGCATAATTAATCTCAAATTGGCTGAATAACTTGTGACCAATTCCTAACCGGTTTCTTTATCCTGATTGTTCTTTGCAACGGCAATCATGTCCCTTTTATGATAGCTTGACCATTGGAGATAACTAATTTCATAGCTCTCTACTAAGATAATGTGGCATCTGTTGATCAATCTGTGTGTCTGCTTACAATACTTTTATATTGGCCCAGTCCATAATTGTAATTGACTTAGGTCTAATAATTAAAGTTAAAGTGAAAATTAAAATCTTACAGTAAGATCACCTCTAATTCTTCTAACTTCCAATGGCTGGACAGCCAACCTGTCCAACTTTTCCTTATCAGATAATCCCCCTTATCCCAGAATCAGTCAAGTGAAACTTTGCCACACTGCTCTAATTCTACCCTTTCTTAAGGAAGGGAACATTAATAAAGGTTTCTAATTTTTCATTATTGCTTTCAGTCTTTGGTTCTGAGAAGGTAACCTTTTTTAATGGTCAAAGACTTTTTTTTTTAATCTGTGAGTCAGAATAGCATTTCCAACAAGCTAAATGTCTAAACAAGCTACTTGACAAAATAATGGCTGAAGTGTTTATGAAGTTGTGCTTTAATGACCCCGAAAGGGACAGATGGAAAGGGGCCATACCACAAGCAAGTCCAGTTCAGAGAAGAAAACTGATCCATACCAGAAGGGCAGTTTAGTTTTGGCAGTATTCAAGCAGTTTCCAGAACTGGAAAGGATTTTTAAGCTGTTTTAACAGTACACATAGACAGTGCTGAGGTATCTTTTTACATTTTTTAGCAATATCAACATTAGTAGAAGGGAGCAATTTTCTCGTGTTTCACAGAGCTGTAAAAGACTTAGTCATACAGTCATAGAGATATACAGCACGGAAACAGACCCTTCAGTCCAATTCGTCCATGCCGACCAGATATCCTATATAAATCTAGTCCCATTTACCAGCATTTGGTCCACATCTTTCTAAATCCTTCCTATACATATACCCAACCAGATGCCTTTTAAATGTTGTAATTGTACCAGCCTCCACCACTTCCTCTGGCAGCTCATTCCATACACGCACCACCCTCTGCATGAAAAAGATACCCCTTAGGTCCCTTTTAAATCTTTCCCCTCTCACCTTAAACCTATGCCCTCTAGTTTTGGACTCCCCCACCCAGGGGAAAAGACCTTGTCTATTCACCCTTTCCCAGCTCCACCTCTATGAGGTCAGCCCTCAGGCTTCGACGCTGCAGGGAGAATAGCCCCAGCCTATTCAGCCTCTCCCTATAGCTCAAGCCCTCCAATCCTGGCAACATGCTTGTAACTCTTTTCTGAACCCTTTCCAGTTTCACAACATCCTTCCTATAGCAGGGAGACCAGAATTGCACACAGTATTCGAATAGTGGCCTAACCAATATCCTGTATAGCCGCACCATGACCTCCCAACTCTTACCATCAATGCACTGACCAATAAAGGAAAGCATATCAAATGTCTTCTTCACTATCCTAACTAACTGCGACTCCACTTTCAAGGAAATATGAACCAGTACTCCAATTTTACTTTTAGCCAAAAAGAGGACTCAGATTTGTATACATACTGATGTGAGAAACTCCTGTCACCTTAAGTTTATGTACACAAATTAGATATGTGGACCAATGGGAGTTTCCATATGGTATTATTGAAGGCAAGGACTGATATGTTCCTGACTAAGAGGGAGTAATTAGATAATATGATGGAGTCTTATAGGGATTTGAGCAGTGGGTTTTGATGAGATTTGTGAAAGAATCAAATGAGCAGTCCAGCAAGATCTATCTCAATATCGTTCCATCTTTTATACTTTTGCTGAGCGGTGAGGTGATTCTCTCATCAAGCAACAGCAAGATGCCAGTTTAAGGGGTATTATTGCTTGTTAAATGCCTTATTAACACCACAACTCACCTCATTAACACTCAGCACCCACTTGCATACTGTAGTAGTGTCCTAGAAGGGGTGTTTAGATGGAATTTAACTAAGAACAGGTAAACTACATGGCCTTGAGGTTATGTGGCAACGCGGGTGGGAGATAGAGTTGTGAGGGTGTGTCAGCCAAGCTGGCTATGTGCCATGACCAGCACGGCATGACTTTGTGGCTGCTGTGTTGTAATGTTGCCAGTAAGGGGCAATACTAGATTGCCAATGCTTGCCTGGGTGCACCACAGCCTTTCAAAGATGGCACAGGCATGAGGGATGTGGGTCTTTTGGTGGCTATCCAATGAGTGGCAAATTGTTCTGGGAATAAATTGTGGTAAGGTGAAGGTGGAATAGACATGAGGGTTGCATGGTAGGTAGTTAATGAGGCACATTTGGTAAGATATGATGAGCAATTTTGTTGGGTCTCATGGCAAGAAGTCCTCGAAAAACTCAACTAACCCACAATTTGCCAAAAAAAGCTTCAACTCATAGGCTAGAATTTTATCTGCTTTTCGACAACAGGATAGGAGAGGTGGAGGC